GGCCTGGTGCGTCGGCTTGGCTTGCTGTCGGTCGTAATGAGCTTCTAAATGTGATTTTTGATGTCGAGGTGGCCGAAGTGATGACGTTGACCCGGCTGGGTAGGTCTAAAGCCGGATAATCTTCTAACTCTGAAATAGTGAAGAGTTTTTGATAAAGACCTCTAGACGAGCGGATAGTGTGGGAGAGGAACGTAAGAAGAAATCCCTAATTTTGAAATAATGCAACCAAATCCATTTGTTTGCAACGGTCAGCCATGTGGGAAAAGACTAGTCAGTGTGGCGGGTGCAGCACGTCGAGCGATGTGAAAAGAAGTAATTTTTGTGTGAGTTTTGGATATTGTTGATTTGGAAAATTCCCAAATTTAGAATGACAAAGCCATGTCTCTTTTCTTTGCAGAGATCAACCATGTGAGGTAGCCAAGTTTGTATGGTATGCTGGATACGGTAGGTCAGGCGTCAAGAAGAGAAGGGTTTATGTGGTTTTGTGGGTGTTTTTGATCATGGTGGGGGATTTTCAAAGGCTTTCCAAAGCTCTTAGATGTGTAACAAAGCCATATTCATGTGTTTGAAGGGGTTGGCCATGGTATTGTGTCGGGTGCGCTACGTCGGTCGGCGGATTGGGCTTTGAGTGTTTTAAGGCATGTACAGTTAAAAGTTATAACATAAAATTATATTTAAACTCGAATTGAAAATTTGAATCGGTGAACTGAACGAGACAAAGACTTTTTAAAGCTTAACCACTTTGAGAGAGCGCCTAAAAACTCATTCTAAAAAAATTCCGCCAAAGTAATGGAGATTGGAAATTCTCCAATGAACCAGAAGCCAAGAGGTTTGTAATCAGCTAAAGGGGGAGTTTCTGAGCTTGTTGTGGTGTGTTTTTGTGAGGCATAAGGGCTGATATTTATAGGCAATGACGAGGCTCCAAGATGAGGGAAATTTTTCTGTAAGAGTGAGTTCTTAGCTTAGATTGCTGTCACAGCTACGTAGGGCAGACACTTTTGGCTGATTTTTTAGTTAGCTGTTTTGGTTTGCAAAGGATGCTTTGCCTAGGAGATGAATACATGGGTTTTGGAACAACCAATGAGATGGATTTGTTGACTTGCCTTGCTTTGGGTGAGTTTGAAGAGGATAACCATGCCTTAGAAAGTGGTTTGCTTTGGGAGAAAAGGAGAAATAGCCATTTTGGCTTGTAGTGCATAGATGTGGACCAATAAGAAATCTAGATTTTTTATTAAATAATTTTGAGTAACAAAATTAGGTTGAATAGTTTGTATTGGATTTGTCTAATTTCCTCTATAATCCACGTTGTCTTAAATTTCTCATAGACCTGAAGCCTTCTAAATGGGCCGATGGTCGGACGGCATAAAATGAGCTCGTTTAAGTTCCGTGACCTACCAAACGACGACCCACATAGAGGTTCCTGAAGCGACATTGCTCGAATTCACGTACCATACCTTGAGTTATGTTGCGGGATTTTGGTTGGATCTGTACTGTGCATTTTTTTAGGCATCAACATTGATTAAATAGCAGGATAATAATGTCATTTTACATCCCAAAAATGGATCTCAAGATACCAAAAAAATATTTTCTAAAACGTTAAGGTACCATTTTAATATTATGAAGAATACATGGTATTAACTCAATGTTTTGCTATAATATAAGGTACTAAATTCCCTTAATTTTATGATACATTTGTTTTTCTAAAAAGGGAAACTTTCTTTTAAAGTCACACAAATTAACATACAAAAATGACAAGATAATAATTAAATTTTGATTTCAATAGACCCCACAAAAATCATTATAATTATGTAATATTGTTATGAAAATGTACTCTTTTATGACAATGATGACTTCATTTTGGTATAGATCATTGTTGAAGCACTTCTTTATTTTTATTGTCCATGAATTACTTGGGCCTCGTTTGGTTGGACAGTTCAAGTGGTTTCAAAATCTGTAAAAAGTAAAAGTAATTTAAATTCTTAGTGTGATAGTTAAACAAAAAAAAAGGGCTTTCTAAACCTAATTCCTCCATAAGTTTTAAATCAAAAGGTTCAAACCAACAGTCGTTTTAACTCTGTAACAAATCGACACCTTGGATTTTAACAATCATGACTAAAGTTTAGCATTTTTTTTTTGTCAAACACATAGATAAAGATCTGAAAGTTGAATTTATAATAAGTATATCTAATTTCATTATTATATTTACATATTCATTATGATAGGAAATATTGGTGATGTTATATTTATTCAAATGAATTATGAAAAGGAAGACATATTACGGTTTCATTCCAGTACAAAAAAAAAAAAAAATCCATCTTTATAATGACAACCGTTAAAGTTTAATTATATTAGATATATCTTTAAAGAGATACAAGACTGAGTAATTAAAGAAATCTAAAAATTTCTCCCACTAGGAATATTCTCAACAAATACATAACTATAATTTAAAACTTACCGCAGGCATAAGTGGTTATGAATAAGAAATGAAAAAAAAAAGTATAATAGTTAATATACGATCAACATTGATAATTATGACAATGACTTAACATTATCATAATGAAAAGCCAATATTTTCACAATGACAATTATAATAGTGAAATGGAACCTTTTATTATGGTATAAATCGTCTTTGTGGTAATGAAAGTGAAAATTTCAAAGAATCATGCTGGTCCATATATGAGAATTTTGCTAAAATAACCGAGTAAAAAAGTAAAATTAAGAAAATGACTTTTTAATTTTAATTTTATTTATTTTATTTGAATAAATTCTTAATTATATAATTAATAGGTATTATTAACATAGGTGCCCTCCATCCCGAGTTTAAATACCAAATTCGAGCTCTCCTCCTTCTCCTCCATTCTTCGAGCCCTCACGAACGACCAAGAAGGCAAGAGAATGACCCAAAATCCTCATCCCCCTCTCTCTCTCCCTTCAGAACCTCCGAGATCTCCTCTTCCCTTATGCTGGAGTTTCCAAATTTTGTTCTCTAAAAAGTTCTTCCAATAATTTCTTCTTCTTCAAAGCACTTAATCAAACAAAATATGACCAAAATTTCTTCGATCTTGCGGATCTAGAGCTTTGATAGCTGGGGAGAATGAATGTAAAGAAATCAAAAAAATTTACCATGACTGAGCACTTCGTGAGGGAGGAGAAACGGAGCTAGCTTCAGAAAGGGTTTTGGGTTCTTTTTTTTTTTTTGTTTTTCTTTCTTCTCAGAAAGTCATTTTGCAAATAAAAATTTTTGAATTGTCATTTTATGAATAAAGCTTTTCTATTAAATTATTTTTACAAAGGCCTCTCTATATATTCCATATTCTACACAGTAATTATAAGAATCATTACTCACAAAAAGAGATTTAAGAATCATTTTTCACAGAGAAAAAAAAATTATCATTATGATAATGACAACGTCATTCATAAAAAATAATAAGATTGCAGTTTGTGAGTAATTGGAAGAAATCTTTATCAAAATTCAACTTGGGAGATATTTCTTGTATCTAAGCAAACATAAAATTAAATAAAACCACATAATATAAGGGCAAAAATGATAAACACAAAAACCATCACAAATAAACTCAAAAACAATAAGCACAAATTAAAAAATATAAAATGCAAAGCAAATAATAGAGTCAACATAGGAAAAAATCAACATGTTACGTGCATCAACTCCAAACAAAGTATTAAAAAAACGAAAAGGCGCAGAATTTGCATCAGGCCATTACAAAAACAAATAGATATAAGGCAAAAAAGATGAAGGAATGGAAAAAAAAAGGGTTCAATTTATATGATGGAAATCATATATTGGTGAACATATCAATACCAAAACAAAGTTGGAATGCATCCATTTTCACCAGAAACAAACAAGGCGATAAAGTTGATTTGGATAGCTTCTCTCCAGCACCATAGGAGACAAAAATATGCAAATGGTTCGAATAGCAAAAACGTGTAGAGAAAAAAAAAATGGCATCATAAATAGAGAAATTAAGATACTAAATAACCATACTAAAAAATCATATGAATATTAAACCAATTGATCGCAACATTAAATGGTAAAAAAAAAAAAGGCTGGTCAACTTTGGAAATTATGGTCAGAAAAAATCAGCACGCGTTTATGGAAAGAAAATACACAACGAGTATGCTAAAAAATATTGGAATAGTTTTGTTATATTGTATATAAATAGATATTTTTAAATTCAATCTATTTATAAATTCAAGATTCTTAAAATATACAGTTTGTATATTTATCTTTTAGTGAAATTTTCTAAGTGGTCGATATGGCAAATGATTATGACACTATGAAAATAAAACATTGCAAATTGAATTACGGTTATACCCTCTTAAAGAGACTTAAAACTTCTCCAATGCAATACTATAATTAATGTGCTAATTATAAATTTAATATTTTAGTGTAAAAAATACTCTCTAATGTAATGTTATTTATTGTGTTAAATTTCACATATGTTATTTGTGAAAAATTTCCTACCAAATATAATATATGAAAACTTTGACATTAAGTATTATTGATTGAAATGTTTATTTTTTTTTATGTAATCAATATAACTTTTATAATTTCTAATTATTTTATAAATAAAAATTAACTTATTTAAAAAAAATAAAAATTTACATTTTAAATAATATTATATTTGAAATAAAAATAAAAATATACATTGTACTTTTTTAATTGACATAGAATTTGCGTTAGCTATTGTCCGCTGGATGGTGTACTTTCTGTAGTACCAAGAGACGAGCCCCACGCAGATTCTCCTCTCCTTTTTTCATCATTTTTTTTTTTTAATAAGGTGGCGGAACTTTATTGCACAGAGGATTTGAGTACTAAGTAGACATTTGGATTATAAATTAAAATTACGCGATTAAAATTATTTTTAATTTATATGTATTTTTTATAAAAAAAAATATTATAATAAATTATAAATTATAATTTAAATTATAGTTTGAATCTTTTAATTAAACGCCCAATTGAAAAATAGGTGGCAAAAAATTGGTCTGGCAATACCACTGCTGTTTCTGTAGTCCGAACCCTGAGTGAGACCTTCTGCTAACTTCACATCCAGGATATAACATATTTATTTTTCAGTTTGGTTTCTCAGAAAACGAAGGAAAATCAGAGAAGAAAAGAAAAATAATAAGGTGAATTTCTATTTTCTTACTTTGGTGAAAAATATGACGACACCTAGTATAGGTGTTATTTACATTTGGCTCATTGCAAACGCATAGTGAGAATTGCGTATCTATGTTGATTTCTACGTGTGCTATCAATTTTCAAGTGGTGTTAGCAAGAGTTTTCTCGTTTAATCACTTGTATTAGTTGTTCGTACTTGTTCTTTGTGAAAATTCCGCCGTTTTACGTATTGCCCAGAAACTGTTCGATAAAATTCCCCAAAGGTACCATCTTGTTAATGAGTTAACCTGTGAATGTAACGTCAAAAATAAATGTAATTGTTACTTTTTCCCTTTTTTTTTATTTTTTGGCTGGAAATAGTTACCAAATTTTATCAAGTAGGGCGTTTGATCATAGAAATTCGATCCTGATCGATGAACTATGGAGAGGTTATTGTCTTCTGTTTCGAAAAATTTACCTTTAGAAGATGTGATTGTTATTTTTTTCAATATGTTTCTTGCATATATAAGCTATGGGAATCTAACAGTTATATGGGTACAGCCGTGGTCATAGTCTTTGGGTTCTCTCTTAGAAGTAGTTGGCAGTATTTGAGGAGCCATGGCTGCTTTCAGGCCTCGGATAGGCAGTTTTTCTCGCAACGTTTCTGCTTCATCATCGTCTCTGACACCTGGACTTAAGCATGGTCCAAACGGCACAACATTCATCTCATCCGGCGTACCGGACCTTGATAGTAATTGCCTTTGGTTTATTTTACTTGTAGTCTTTTCCACTAGAACATTTATTTTCTTCCAGTTCTCATACCATTTTTCTTTTTAATTATAGAGATTTTAGGTGGTGGGTTTTCTTTGGGAAGTCTAGTCATGGTGATTGAAGATGCAGAGGCACCTCATCATTTGCTTTTGCTGAGGAATTTCATGTCTCAAGGACTTGTTCATAACCAACCTCTTCTCTATGCTAGTCCATCTAAGGACCCTAGAGGATTTTTGGGTACTTTACCTAGTGCCGGATCATCTAAGGATGAAAAATCTTCTAAGCGAGATTCTGATGAGGTCTAGTTTCTTTTCAAACTTCTTATTTGTATATCCATATATTTTTACTTCAATATGGTGAAATTTAAGAGCTTCATAGTTTGGTGGGAAATTTTTCAGGAGAAGGGATTGAGAATAGCTTGGCAATACAAAAAGTATTTTGATGAAAATCATCAGAGTTTAGATAGTAATAGAGGTGAGTGTGGTTAGACTTAAGATAGTCGTGGTATTATGCACTCTACTAGTCATATGATGTTCTAATTGTCTGATGTAATGAGAAGTCTGCTTTTTATACCTAGTTCAACATTTGAGCAGTTTAGTGTGCATTATGACAAACATAAGATGCTCTAAATATTGTTAGATAGTAAGAAAGAGTTCTGCAATGACTTTGACCTGCGGAAGCCCTTGGAGAGGCAATTTCTGATCGGCAAGCAGATAGATTGTGTTAGCACTCAAGATTCTCAAAATCTAGTTGCACTTCATGATCGTTGTGCAGCATTTTTGTCTCAATTTTCAAGGTTGGTCTTATTAGTTTCTGGCCTATTATCTAACTTATCAAATAGTGATGTCTGGCTTATGAGTTTACGTTCATTTGAGTTGGTTTATGAAACTGGCAAGCTAGTCTTTTCTTTTTATTTTTAAGAAAAGTCGTGGGGCCTTTTTTTTCAGTCAAAGATGAAGCAGGACTAGATCCAGTCATTTAGCAAACACGAGTCCTTTATGAGAAGACAAGGTTTTAAATTGCACAATCGGGTACTCAGGCATTTTGTGTTATGAGGCGAGGTGTAAGCCTTAAATAATCATAGGAATAATTTTTTCTCCCTTTGTTTTAAACAAGTCAGATTTAGCGTTTCCAGTCTCCACTCCACAACAACTGCCTCTTTGATTTTTCAGCAGCAACATCTCTACTTCTCTAAAATTTGTTTTCGGCAATAACTTGATGTGCTTTTATTTATTAAAATTTTTTTTTGCTGGGATTTTATTTTTCAGAAGCAACTTATGCAACTCAATGGCTGAACAAAGAATTTGTTTATTCTTGGGCTCGGCTACATTTGTTTCAGCCCAAAAAAAATAGAGAAAGAGGAATGCCTCGTGGGTAAGGCTCAAGGCCCGCCTCATGTATGTGAGGCGTACAACTCTTAAACAGCCTGAGGCTTTTTTTGAGCGCCTCATGTGAGGCAGCCTCAACATCTCGCAAATTTAAACATGTGAGAAGTTTTTTATTTTTTCTTGATATTTCAAATTTCTTAAGGATGTCCTGTGCAGTTCTCTTAAGGGGTTCTTGTGAGATTAACTGCATTCCATGATATGAAAGGCATTAATGCACTTACTATGGTTATATACAAAAGGCATTTGTGTGGCTCATAATATTTTTTTAGTTGCTATCCCTACTTTAATTAAAAACATAACCTTTTCGTTTGTTCTATTCTTTTGTTTTGCCGCATCCTAGGAACGAAAGCAGTGTTTCCGTTGCTGGTCGTATCGCTATTCAGTCACTTTGTGCTCCACAATTTGTACACTCCGACATGGTGAGTAGCAGTTAAAGTTTTCTCTTAATCTCTTTGTTAAATTAGCCTCTGTTTTGAAATGCATATATATATATATATATATATATATATATATAGGAGAATACTGGGGACAGAAAGAGAGACTAGCTCTCTATATTTTTTCTTATTCATTCCAGAAAATAGAACACATTTAAATAAAAATAGAGAATACACGGTAAAACCCTAGGATCCCACATAATCAGGGATTTTATTCTAATCTTTGATTCTTTCCTAATTTATTCAAAAATCAAATCCTAACTTCACAATCCTGATTTGCCGACACTCCCCCTCAAGTTGGTGCAAATATATCAATCATGCCCAACTTGCTCACTTGAAGTTCAAATGGCTGTCTCAACAGGCCCTTAGTCAAAACGTCTGCCACTTGCTGTGTAGTGGGAACAAATGGAGTACAAATTATTCCCTCTTCTAGCTTTTCTTTTATAAAGTGTCTATCAATCTTAACGTGTTTCGTCCTGTCATGTAGGACAGGATTGTGAGCAATACTGATTGCTGCTTTGTTGTCATAATACAGTTTCATAGGAAAACTTATTGGTCGCTTAAGTTCTTCCAAAACCCTTCTTAGCCAAAGAACCTCACACACTCCTTGAGCCATTGATCTAAATTCTGCCTTAGCGCTGCTTCTAGCGACTACACTTTGCTTCTTGCTTCTCCAAGTAACTGAATTGCCCCAAAGGAATGTACGGTAGCCTAATGTTGACTTTCTGTCAGTGACCGAACCAGCCCAATCAGCATCTGTATACACCTCAATTCCTCTCTTCTCATTTTTCTTGAAGAAGAGTCCTTCCCGGGTGTGCCTTTTAGATAACGAAGAATTCGATACACAGCTTCCAGACGTTCTTCATATGGGGAATGCATAAACTGGTTCACCATGCTCACAGCGAAAGCGATGTCGGGTCGTGTATGTGACAAGTAGATCAATCTCCCAACCAATCGTTGGTATCTCCCTGTGTCTACTGGGACGCCATCGTTTACATCTCCGAGTTTAACATTAGCTTCTATCGGAGTATCTGAAGGTTTGCAACCACTCATTCCAGTTTCTTTCAGAAGATCTAGAATATACTTCTGCCGCAATACTACAATGCCCTTTTTCGATCTTGCCACTTCCATTCCAAGGAAGTATTTTAGTTGGCCTAGATCTTTGATTTCAAATTCCTTGGCTAGGTTCTGCTTCAGTCTACTCATCTCTTCTAAATCATCTCCAGTCAGAATAATATCATCCACATAGACGATCAAGATAGACATCTTGTCTTTGGTAGACCTCTTTGTAAAGAGGGTGTGATCCGATTGTCCCTGTGTGTATCCTTGGTTCTTAACAAACTTTGTAAATCTCTCAAACCAAGCTCTGGGAGACTGTTTAAGACTATATAGACCTCTTTAGTTTGCACATCTTGATTCCAAAATTCTCAATGAAGCCCGGTGGGGGTTCCATGTAGACTTCTTCCTCTAAGTCTCCATTCAAAAAAGCATTCTTCACATCCAGTTGATTCAGAGGCCAATCAAGATTAGCAGCAACAGATAAGAGTACCCGAACTGTGTTTAGTTTCACCACTGGAGAGAAAGTCTCTGAGTAGTCCACTCCATATGTTTGAGTGAAGCCTTTAGCTACCAGGCGAGCCTTGTATCTTTCCAAGGATCCATCTGAGTTGTACTTGACAGTAAAAACCCATTTACAGCCAACAACTGTCTTCCCATCTGGCAGATCCACTTTTTCCCAAGTAGCATTCTTCACCAGAGCTCTCATCTCCTCGAGGATTGCTTCTTTCCACTCCGGAACATTTAGAGCCTCCTGGACACTATTAGGAATAACCACACTAGACACTTGTGAAATAAAGGAACAATATGAGAGTGAAATGTTTTTGTAAGACACAAAATTCGACAATGGATGTTTTGTACAAGTCCTAACACTTTTCCTAAGAGCAATGGGAAGATCAAGTTGACTAGAATGGTTTGACTCAGAATTACTTGGAGGATTATGCTCAGGAATTATTGACGAATCATCCTGAATGTCATGATCTAACCTTTGATTAGACTCTTGGCGGTGCTGGGGAATAGTGTCTCTTCTTTTCTGCGCTTGATACTCCTTTGAATAAACAAGACCTTTAAACCATTTCGCACACATCTCTGTTGTTTCAGTATTTTGATTCTGAGATGGCATTACCACAGGTTGTCTATTTTCAACATTTAATTCATTTGTTTCCACTGATTTTCCTTCGGATAATTGTTTGTGGGAAACATCATCTTGAGTAAACTCAAACGTTAAACCATCTAGAAATTCATCTTCACTCGAACTCTCCCCCTGAAGATGGGAATTGTTGTAGTAGGGCTGTCCCTCAAAGAACGTGACATCCATAGACACAAACATTTTTTTAGAAACGGGATCAAAACATTTATACCCTTTCTGATTTGTAGGATAACCTACGAAAATGCACTTTTGTGCTTTTGGATCAAGCTTAGAACGTCTAGGATCATGATTATGGACAAAAGCTACACTTCCAAAGATTCTTAAGGGAATATCTGTTATTAGCCGAGTGGCTGGAAAGCATTTACTGAAGAATTTCATTGGTGTTTTAAAGTTCATAATTCTTGTAGGCAACCTATTGATCAGATATGTGGCTATTAAAACTGCTTCTCCCCAAAGGTACTTAGGAACTTTAGCTTTAAAACTTATAGCTCTAACAACTTCAAGAAGATGTCTGTTTTTTCTCTCAGCCACCCCGTTTTGTTGAGGTGTATTGGTATAAGAACTTTGATGTACAATCCCTTTTTCAGCAAAAAAATTCCCCAACACATTATTAAAAAATTCTTTGCCGTTATCACTTCGGAAAATTTTAATCTGAGTCTGAAATTGTGTTTGAACCATATTATGAAAATTTTTAAACACTGTTTCAGCATCGGATTTTTCCTTTAAGAGGAAGACCCAAGTGACTCTAGTATGGTCATCAATGAAAGTAATAAACCAACGTTTTCCAAAAAAAGTTGACACTCGAGAAGGACCCCAAATATCACTATGAATCATGGTAAATGGTTTCGATTTTTTATATGGTTGTGATGGAAAAACGACACGATGATGCTTTGCTAATTCACAAGATTCACATCGAAACGTAGAAGGATTTTAATTCATGAATAACTTGGGTAACAAATGCTTTAAATATTGAAAACTTGGATGTCCTAATCGATAATGCCATAACATAATCTTACTGTCACTAGAAACAGAAATAGAATTGAAACAGGCCTGTTGATCTTGTCTTCCAAAGGTTGATCCATTATTGAAGAGGTAGAGACCACTATCCAATCTAGCACCCCCAATCATCTTCCCAGAGGTTAAATCCTAAAATTCACAACGAGAAGACAAAAAATTAACTATGCAGTTATGATCATGTGTCAACTTACGGATAGACAAGAGGTTATAGGACAAATGAGGAACATGCAGGACATTTTTTAGAATTAGAGAAGGGGAAATGATAACTATTCCTTTCCTAGCAACCGTAGCAAAGGAGCCATCTGCAATTTTAACTCTTTGATTCCCTGCACAAGGTGTATATGAAGAGAAAAATTGCGAATTGCCGGTCATATGATCGGTAGCACCTGAATCTAATATCCAAGAGCCATCTGATTTGGTACAGGCAGCGGCTGCAGTGAAAAAATTACCTGACTGTGCTAGAGAACAAGAGGAGTTAGAGTTTCCTAATGATTGGGACTGAAACATTTTTTGTAGGTGCTCTATCTGTTCCTTTGTAAAAGGAAGGGATGCTGATGGAGATTCCTGCTCTGGATCCGTGCGGCTTGCTTGGAATGCGCGGAGCTCTCCCCCTGACCTGGTGTCACTGCCGGGTTGTTCTTCAAGTTTGCTAGTTTCCCGTGTAGTTTCCAACAGTTTTCCTGAGTATGCCATGCTTTCCTGCAATGGTCACACCAGGGCCTCTGTTTCCTCCACGCCTGTCTCCTTCTGACTCTGTGCCTCGGATTACAGGGGCAGATCCCTCACCAACTATCTTTGGTTCATCAATGTTTTTCAACATCACATGTCGCCATGCTTCCTCTCTTCGTACCTCTGCAAATACCTCTCTTATTATTGGCAGGGGTTTTTTTTTCCTAATATACGTCCTCGACCTCATCAAGATCTTTATTCAAACCAGCCAAGAACACAAATACCCGGCCTCTCTCAACCTTCTTTTTGTACCGAGCACTGTCATTAGAGTTTTCCCATTGTTCATCTTCGAACATATCCAATTCCTGCCATACTGTCATCATATCATTATAGTAGGTCGTTACCTCACGGTCACCTTGCTGCATCTTCCACATCCGAGTGTTCAACTCGAACAATTGTGAGTGGTTGTCCAGATCGGAATACGTTTCCCGGACTGCCTCCCAAACGTCACGGGCTGTAGGCAAGAACATGAAGGGCTTTCCAACAACAGGATCCATCGAGTTGATCAACCAGGCAGTCACCATGGAGTTTTCTGAGCGCCATTGCCTGTATTTTGGATCACTGGTGGCTGGAGGGTTTACTTCTCCATTCAAATGTCCATATTTCCCTTTGCCATCGATCACCAGTCGCATGGATTGAGACCACTCAAGGTAATTCTTTCCATTCAATTTGTGAACGGTAATTTGAAGGGAATTTTCAGAGAAGGAAACTATCGGATTTGACTGTGAAGTTGTCCCCGATGAAGCCATACCACTGGTGGCATCCGAAGTGGCTGAACTAGAACCAACCATGGCGGCTTTAAAATTCATAATCGAGCCCTATTCTCTGATACTATATAGGAGAATACCGGGGACAGAAAGAGAGAATAGCTCTATATTTTTCCTTATTCATTCCAGAAAATAGAACACATTTAAATAGAAATAGAGAATACACGGTAGAACCCTAGGATTCCACATAATCAGGAATTTTATTCTAATCTTTGATTCTTTCCTAGTTTATTCAAAAATCAAATCCTAACTTCACAATCCTGATTTGCCGACAATATATATATATATATATATTTTTGATTGTTAGTGTTTATTTTGTTTTCTTTATATGTTCTTTCTCCTCTTTCATGAAGACCTTTTTTGATAAGTTTCCTTGCTTTAAAATTAGTGGTCGAAATGGCACGTATGGTAACTTCAGTATTTTATTGAATTCAATTACTATTGGCGTGCAGGAATGGGACATGCTTTCCTTTCTTAGATCTTTGAAGGGCATGGTGCGGTCTTCAAATGCAGTTGCCTTGGTCACCTTCCCATCAACCCTTCTTTCACTATCAACCTCCAAAAGATGGCAGCACATGGCTGACACCTTGCTTTCTGTCAAAGCAATTCCAGGTTTATAGTTAGCTTTTACGTATGCATTTCGTCCTCAATAATTTTTCAATAATAACTCTTAATGAATAACTGGTACAGATGAAGATAAGGACTTGGCTAAGCTTCTCACTGGTTACCAAGACATGATTGGCCTTCTTAACGTGCACAAAGTAGCTCGTATTAATACACAGGTATTCTCTAACACGTGCTTTGCCGTAAACCTAATTTTATATTAATCTCTCTGGTGCTCCACTTTCGTTATGTATAATGCTCTTTTTGTTGAAAAAGTTAGAAAGCATCACTAGTGCTGGGCACCGTCACTGATGCCAAATAGTACTGCTCTTTTTTGCTTGATGTTCACGCTTCATATTCACTAGAAAGCGGCACGTCACCTTTTTGTCTTATTGAGTTTAGTGCAATACCAAGCTGAAAATGTGTATTGGCTTTCTTACAAACAATAATTGTAAGTTATCGTATTTCACCGTGTAGGTTCAGCAAAATAAATGTTATAAGTAGGAGCACTAGAGCGGTTGCTCTATTACTTTCCTGTTACTACAAACTGGGCCGTTTTGATTATAGCTCCTTAATAATCTGGTTGAGTGAGATGGTTTCGATTTCAATCCATCGCTGTTGTAGCTCGACTATTTATGTCAATTAATTTAAATGTGTTGGCAGTTTCCTGTGATTCTTGAGGCAACAACATTCTCAATAAAGTTGCAGAAGCGGAGGTTTTTGGTTTTGGAATGTCTAAATCAAGCCCCTATTGATGGTTCAAGTGGGAGTTCTTACAGCACATCTGGCAGTTGTTCTGGATCTTCTAGAACTGGAACTCTTGATTTCTAGATTCTAGGTTAACGCTAATGAAGATATCTTAGAAATAACTATTGAAATTGAGAGTTTTTAAATCTTTAAGAATTAGTCGTTAGTTCTAGAATCAGTATGTGCTGCTATGTTCCTTCAAGCTTTTCCCTTTCATTTAGACTTTAATTTTGGGCTTGTTTGGCTCAACAACTTAAACCATGGATATTTGAACCTTTTTGGTATCACTATAGAATTTGAACTGTGGTAATTCAAACTATCATTTGGATATGCAAAACAATTGTAATTTGAATTGAAAATAAAATCCAAACTGTGTTTAGATAAAGTATTGAAAACTGTCATTAGAGTTTTGTAACAAATAAAATTTCATTATAAATGACATTAAAAAATATGTAATGAGTGGGGATTTATTCATCTTTTCATTATGAATACATTAAAAAAAATTATCTCAATCGAAATTAAAATAAGTTATGACATTTTAAAGATTGAAATTGAAGAGAGAAAACGTAGAATATAAAACTATTGGACTGTTGACAATAATTCAGATTGTTAGAATTTAGAGGGAAGTGAATTCTAAAATTAACAATTGAAGTTGTCCTTGAACTATTGTTAACGGTTCAAATTGTCCTTGAATTTTCTTCTCCCAAACATCGGGTTAAATCATGAACTAAGATTTAAATTCTAAACAGTTTGAATCGTTGAAATAACTAGAGGCTTTGTATATTGCGGTTTTGATGAACTAGTTTTTCTGGTATGTATGCATTGCTCGAAGCAAAAGATATGGTGAATTCACTGAACAAACTGAGAACTTTTTCTTTTGGCTGAGAAGAAACTAAAACATTTTTTTTTTTTTTTTGGGAGAAAAAAAAAAAAAATTTTTTTTTTTTTTTGCTCCAATAAAAAAAAGAAAGAAACTAATACTAGTCGCTATCAGGAAAGGAAGCAAGAACCTGATGCTTGATCAATTCTCTTTCGTTTTTGTTTTTTGTTTTGTTTTTTATACATTAAAATTAGTATGGGAAATTCTTGTCCATGCACTACCTGGCAAGGCAGTAAACCACAAAATTGCACGGCAAAAGTTGGAACTGCACATGTGGGCAAAAACGTCCACATAAATATTAGAATGGTTGGGACCATCCCACGTGAATGAATGTATACTACAACTGGTAACAGCCAAGAAGCAGAGGCCCACAACTTCTTGGGCCATTAATGAGAAACATCAATTTCTCTCTCTCTCGTAAAGTACATCAAGAAAAGGAAAACATGAGACGAGAAACTAATTCACACCACAAATGAACTCGCTCGCTTGCTTCGCAGTTACGGAAGATGAAAACAATTCCTTTATTTAAGATGTTAATAAAGCTAGTGAAAATGCACCTTCATCCAAATTCAGTATTCTCTCCTTAGAACAAGCAGAAGCAAAGCAAGTTTCTTAAGAGCTAGGCTTCAATGTGTTCGCAACGTCGATGACGAATCGATATCTGAGATCTGCCTTGACAAGTCGCGCCATTGCAGTGTTCACATAATCCATTGGGATAACTTCAATCTCAGATGTTACGTTGTGCTTGCCAGCAAAATCAATCATCTCCTGAGTTTCCTTCATCCCTCCAATACAACTTCCAACCACCATCTTCCTTCCTGTTATTCGGTTCAAATTACAATGCATAGTTAATACACAGAATTAACGAATGAAAATGATTGCAATCAAAATGTTATACATCATTGTGCCGATCAATTTCACACTTGCTTACATGCATCCAATAAGAAAGCATTGTTTTAAATAATTTTCAAGCAATGATGCACATGGTTAAAGAATTATATTATGAAGTTCTTGAAAGGTGTGTTCTCTTGTTTCTTATGATCGAGTGTCATGTTCTTAAAATAATAAAATCATTTATCCTAAAAAAAAAAAGAAATACTCTCAACAAAACTAAAATTATTATTTTAACGTGTTGTGTTTATTTATCTATTTATTTTTTCACAGTGAGTTGCTTTTACTGCATACGTACCCAGGATTAAAGGCATGGCCGGTAGCTCAAGTGGTTTAGCCGGTGCACCAACCATGATTAACTTTCCATGAGACTTCAACAGACTAATCAAAGGCACAAGAGGATGCACTGCAGAAACTGTGTCAATGATGCCGTCCATAGTGCCAATGGCAGCCTTTCCACGCAAAAACATGAAAAATGATTAGGTACCATGGTTTAACTAAGCACATATAAGTAATAATTCAAAGTTATAATGATTAATATCATGGATGCATACCTGCATTCCATGTTGGTCACGACTGACCAAAAATGAATCAGCTCCAAGATTTTCAATGGCTTCCTTCTTCTTGTTAGGAGAAGTACTAATCACAGTAACCTTAATCCCCATAGCCTTGGCAAATTTCACTGCCAGGTGGCCTAAACCACCTAGGCCAACTATGCCAACATGATAGCCAGGTTTATCTAGTTCAAAATACTTCAAGGGACTATAAACTGTGATCCCAGCGCACAGGAGAGGGGCTGCAGTGTCAAGTGGTAGGTTATCGGGAATGCGAATGATGAAGTGCTCATTTGCCACCATCACGTCCGAATAGCCTCCTTGGGTGGGGGTGCCATCGTGGTATGTGGCGCCATAGGTGAAGATCACCTTGGGGCAATAATTCTCGAGGTTGTTAGTGCAGTTGTCGCAGGAGTGGCATGCTCCCACCAAACAGCCCACGCCCACTTTGTCGCCCACTTTTAACTTTTTCACTTCGCTTCCCACCTCTGTTACTACACCAACAATCTCATGCCTGCAATATTTTCTCAATTCTATGACAACTCTGGATCAATAGCTAAAACATTATATGAAAACTTAAATGCACCTCTCCCTCGTTCCAACAAAAATTTGTAACAATTTTAAAAAATTGTTATATTTTTAAAATCCTTAGCATTCAAATTGTCACTTTAAAAAAAAAAACTTAGTTTGATCACTTCTAATTTGTATAAAATTACACAAGACAGTTTCAGGTTGGTGCTAATAACTACAATACAATTTATTCTGCTTTTGTATTTTTATATATTAATTTTTCTTGTTGGTCGTTCGTCGTCTAGCCCGTTCAGCAAATTGGTTGTCTAAAGTCTCAAACATTTCTTACTCAAATGTCAACCAAGTTTCTATATCTATAGGATTATATGGAAGAGGCGATGAAGAGTCATTTTTTTGTACTTCAAGTACCTTTGGTTTAGTGCATATGTGAGTGCGTTAGTTAAGAGATGCTGGTGTGTCTTTACTTGAGATACAACCTGTCTAGATTTGAGGGTTTTTATTGAAAAGTATAACTATTTAGTCTCTAAACCTTAACTTTGACAGCTGTACTCTTTTTTTTTTTAAATTTTTTTTAAACAACAGAGAGAAGCCATCTTCATCAGATAGTTTGTATTTTTTCTCTCTATCTTGGTCTTCTTTCTATTAACTTTTTTTTTCTTCCATTTTTGTGGCTTAAATCAATATGCTTTTTTTTTTTCTTTTTTTTTTTTCCAAATTGGCCTTCAAGTGTATTCAAGGAGAAAGGCTACTCCAGAACCGCCACAAGTCCAAGAATCCAACTCAGGCTCTGGGAATGAGATCACGGTAACATCTAATCCACCCTTACTCACACAACCGGTTGAAAAATTCACTGATCCAACAGATGACCTCGACCTTCCTATTGCTGTCAGAAAAGGTCCCCGAGAGTGTACTAAACATCCAATCTATCCACTATCTCTCCCTTAAGCGCCTGTCATCGGCCCACAAAAAGTTCATTGTGAGTGTAAACACCATTGCTATCCCTAATACTGTTTCTGAGGCATTGTCAAAAAAGGGAATGGAGGGAGGCTATGAGAGAGGAGATGAGTGCATTAGAAAAGAATATAACATGGGAGATTGTTGATAAACCAAGAGGGAAAAATGTTGTTGATTGCAAGTGGATTTTCACACTGAAATACAAGGCTGATGGATCTTTGGAGAGATATAAAGCAAGATTGGTGGCCAAGGGATACACTCAAACTTATAGAGTGGATTATCAAGAGACTTTCGCTCCAGTCGCAACAATGAATACTGTGAGAATTTTGCTATCATTGGCGGCTCATTTCAATTGGCAACTACTACCGTATGATGTCAAGAATGCATTTCTTCATAGTGACTTAGATGAAGAAATCTATATGAATATTCCACCGGGATTTGAGGGGGACACAAGTAACAAAGTGTGCAAGCTGAGAAAGGCCCTTTATGGGTTAAAGCAATCTCCTAGAGCATGGTTTGGGAGATTTACAAGAGTGATGAAGGAGTCCGATTATGAACAAAGTCAAGGTGACCATACTCTCTTCATTAAGCACTCAGTTGCTGGGGGAGTGACTGCTCTTCTAGTCTATGTGGGAAATGATGAAAGAGAGAAGCATGAACTCTAGCACAGATTAGTAAGAGAGCTCGAGATAAAGGAGCTGGGGAAACTGAAGTACTTCCTCAGTATTGAGGTGGTATATTCCACACAAGGGATCTTCATATCTCAACAAAAGTACGTGACTGGTCTATTAGCAGAAACATGGAAGATTGGGTGTAAGCCAATCTCTACTCCAATGGATCCGAACCATAAGTTAGGAGAAGCTAAAGAAGAACCAGTTGTCGATAAAAGAATGTACCAGAGGTTGGTTGGTAGACTCATATACCTTGCTCACACTCGGCCAGACATAGCATACTCTGTGAGTGTGATCAGTCAATCATGCATGACCTAAGAGAACCTCATCTTCAAGCTGCTTATGGGGTACTACATTACTTGAAAGGCAATCCAGGGAAAGAAATTTTGTTCAAAAGGAACAATACCCTTACTCTAGAAGCCTACACTGACGCTGACTATGCAGGTTCCCTGGTGGATAGAAGATCAACAACAGGGTATTGTACTCTTCTTGGAAGCAATCTGGTAACATGGCGAAGCAATAAACAGAACGTGGTGGCAAGGTCATCTGCAGAAGCAGAATTCAGGGCCCTTGCTCAAGGATTGTGTGAACTGCTTTGGCTAAAGATTATTCTAGATGATCTGAGAATCAAATGGGAAGGTCCTTTGAAGCTCTATTGTGATAATAAGTCAACCATCAATATTGCTCATAATCCTATACAACATGATAGGACAAAGCATATTGAAATTGATCGACACTTTATCAAAGAGAAATTGGAGGAAGGATTAGTGTGTATGTCCTATGTTCCATCAGGACGACAATTAGCTGATGTTCTAACAAAGGGGCTGCACAGTTCGAGTTTCCACGATCTTGTATTCAAGCTGGGAATGGAAGATATCTATTCCTCAGCTTGAGGGGGAGTGTTGACATGTAAATGAATTGTAAATAGATTAGGAGAATTAGTTAGAAATCCCTTGATTTAAGGGATTTGGGTTAGGCAGGATTATTTGGTTTCCTGATTTAGGAATGATTTGGTTTCCTATTCTTTCTCCTGTAATTAGCTATATAATACCGTGTAATATGATTACTCATGAATAACAGAAAAACATAATCCTTTTCTGTGACAGTTGGAATTAATGACTCTATCTAATTGGCCGTTTATATATATCTAAGTCGGTTAGTAACAAACAAGACTGCAGCTTGTTCTGTTATAACCGACTGAGTCTTGTTTTAACCTTTAGAGGTTAAGAGGCCTAACTCTGGTTTATTAGGACTCTATTTTAAGAGTATAAATAGATGTGATGTATTGAGAGCCTATTCATTCATTGAAGTCTCGGCTACAGTTTGTACACTCCTTTTGGTTTCTCTATAAGATTGAATTCTGGTGAGAGAAAGAAAAGAGAGAACGTGAGTTCTGGGAAAGCTTGGGTTTATAGCTTGTAATTCTGTATCACTCGGTAGAGTGTGTGAGACTTGAGTTGTATTCAGTTCTTGATAGTGGATTTGGCTAGGGGGATTTCACCTGCCCTTGGATGTAGGGTATTTAACCCGAACCAAGTAAATCACTTGTCTCCTTGATTTTCTTTGCTTGTTTCTGGACTTATGAAAAACGACATTTGGTATCAGAGCTTGGTAGATTGAAGAAGTCGAATCTCAGAAATCAAGAAGCTGGCACAAAAATCAAGGATGAGGTCGGCAAAGATCGAAGTCGAGAAATTTGATGGAAAAGGTGATTTCGATATGTGGAAGAAGAAGATGCGAGCAATTCTTGTTCAGCAACGATGTGTGAAAGCTCTTGATGGATTCCCATAAGGAACAAAGGATCCTGATAAGGCAGAGGTAAATGAACTTTCCTATAGTCTTCTAATTCTTAATTTGTCAGATAATGTACTGAGGCAAATAGATGAAGAAGACACTGCATTGAAAGTCTGGGCTAAGTTAGAATCTTTGTATGTAAAAAGAACTCTGTCGAATAAACTTCTTCTTAAGGGTCAGTTGTTTGGATTTAAAATGGATTCAACGAAATCGCTAGAAGACAATCTTGATGACTTCAAAATTATCACCGTGGGTTTATCAAATATTGGTGAAAAAATTGATGATGAAAATCAAGCAATAATTCTATTGAATTCTTTACCCGAGTCTTTTAGTGATATGAAAACGGCCATGAAATATGGAAGAGATTCATTATCTCTTGAAGATGTTTTGGGAGCCTTAAGGTCGAGGGATCTTGAAATGAAGACCAATAAGAAGGCAAATCCAAATGGTGAAGGGCTTCAAGTTCGTGGAAGGCCTGAAAGAAGGGATCAATCAAGGTCTAGACAGAAATCTAGATCTAAATCCAAGAATAGAACACCCAAGACCTGGTGGCATTGCCAAAAAGGACATATTCGGAGATTTTGCCCACAGAGGAAGAGTAACACCCATTTTTCTAAACTGATAAAATTCTTAGAAGTAGATGTTAAGAGTTAACTTGAATAATGTTATGGTGTTATATTTAGTGAATTCTAACATCATAATGAGTTTAATTCCGCAGGTGATCGCGATGAGGACTCGAGGTGCTAAGAACAAGTTCATGCCATTTTATGAAAATTTTATGTGATTGCATATTTATTCTTATGATTTAATGAATTAGTGTAATGTTATGATTTGATAATATGTTTCTTTTTATATGACATATGTACATGATTTATTTTGTGTGTTACTTTGTGGTTTATATGATATGTGATATAGTATTTTAATAAGAGTTAAGAAAGTAAATAAATATAAGGCCTCGTTCATTTTGTTGATTCGAGTTTAGAATTCGAGTTTTGCTACAGTAAAAAGCTCTCACAAACAGTTACATCTAACTTTTTTGCTACAGTAAAAAGCTCTCACATAAAATCACATCTCAACTCGAATTAAAAATTCGAATCAGCGAACTGAACGGTTTGTAAATTTATACAGTTTGATGTGCCATTATTATACCCACAAATATCTCCATTAGTCCTATATTATACTAGGAACAAATCACAATTACTACCTATGCTCTGGCCAAATTACAATAGGAAGTCTATCTTCATAAACGTACAGGGGAAAAAAAAAAAAAAAAAAAAGGCCAGGTTCACGACTATACGTTCTCTTGCCTATTATATACCTTAGTTATGCACATAGTCAAAGGAAGGGGAGAGTAATCATCGTGCAATATGTTCTAGGATTCGTTATTTCAATGACAGTCGTAGTCCCCAATGCACGCCTGTAATATTCAAGAAGATTCTAAAAATAGTTTTGGAATTATTGCTCATGATTTTCTTACGTGTTGACCAAAAAAAAAAAAAAAATTGATATATTTGTAGAACCCTCATTCTATATCCTCTCAGTTGCCTTGATATATTTTCTTCTC